TGGACCCATGCATCAAGAGGTCGGCGGTTCGATTCCCAGTTAGGACACATGCCCAGGTTGTGGGCCTGATCCCCAGTGGGGGGCATGCCAATTCATGTTCTTTCTCATTGATGTTTCTATCTCTCTCCCTCTCCCTTCCTCTCTCTCTAAAAATCATTAAAGAAAAAAAAATTTTTTTTTTTAAATCTAATATATGTTTTAAGTTTGTCATTATGATATAGCAGTGACTTCTTGGCACTACCAGCTGCTAGAGGCTCCTTTGCAAAGCACATTTGCAGTACTTGAATAGATGTTTTCACCTGGTGAAAAGCATGAGACTTTTGGCTATCTATGCCGATGTCGGTTACTCTTAATGGAGATTTTGCTATCAGATCAGTAGGCGTCCCTTCTTTTTTAATGGTATCGAAGGTAAAGCCTTGCCTCACCTCCTGGACTGATGGTGACGGTCCAGTGTCATTGAAGCATTTCCGCCAACTGCAGCTATGTGCAGTGCTTAAAGAAGATGCTTTCTGGATATTTAAGAAATAGACATAAGATTTTTGCCCTTACATTTTTAGTTCTAATAATTTTACATTAATTTGCTGCTTCATTCAATCTTTGGATGTGTTCCTTTCTTTGCCAGCAGCCACTGGTTATCACCAAGTCCTTTTCTGTCAGTATTAGTACCTGCAGTAGAAAGACCCTCATGGACACCGGGGTGCATTTGAGAGCTGGAGCCAGAGCTGCAGCCACAGCCTGAGCCTTGGTTTAAGCCTTGGCCTTGGCCTTTGGCTGGCAGAGCCTGAGACCCTTGGCAGTGTGTGCATGAGCATGTTTCCTAAGCTGGGGTGAGCATGTTGATTGAGCTTGTAGCTACAACCCTTTGGGATCTGGGGCTTGACCTCCGTGGGCTTTACCAGGTCCTTGATAACCTTGGCATGTGCGCTCATGGCCTGGCAGAATTTGTAGGAGACTTAAATATCAATTTCCACTGATGAACATTCTGGTTTTTCTTTAGCCAGGAGAAGGCAGACTGATGACAATCTCAAAGATTGATTAAGACTTGGGAAAGCAGTAATAATTTAGAAACCCAAAATTATGGGAAATTTTCTCTTCTTTTTTAGAAAGAAATTATAAAGAAAATAGGTTGACTAATCTTATGTTTAGAGACTGTTACTTTATATAACGTATCTGTAGCCCTGAAATACGAAATCCGATAATAAGATTCCACCTTACTTAGGGTCATAATTATAAATACACTACACAAAAAGTATCTTACTCCATTAAATTCACTGTGGTAGTCAGTGGCTACATGTATATTGCATAGTTTCAGCTGTTACCTGAGTCTTAACTGTCTTAATGCTAAAAATAATTTAGCATTAAGGACTATTTGATTAATACATGATTTTAAAATTACTTCATTTTATTCTTCGATTTCTTCATTTATACTTTAAACAGACTTAAGAGTTGCATAAATTTGCAGACCTTCATGCACAATAGTGCTCTTCACGGCATGGTTTATAAAGAAAAAAAAAAAAAAATGGAAAGAACCCAAATGTCTCTAAACTGGAAATTGGTTATTAATATAGATGAATATTAAAAATGATGAAGTAGGTCTGTAATTATTGATATAAAAAGGTATTCACCATATAGTGATTTTAAAAATATCAGAAGATTACAAAAGCAAACATTAACTATATATTTAGAAAAGAAGTCTAGGAAGATATAAGTCAAAATGTTAACAATACTGTTTGTTTAATCCTCAGTCGAGGATATGTTTATAGATTTTAGAAAGGGGGTGGGGAGAGAGAGAAACATCAATTGGTTGCCTCATGTAAGAACCCTGACCTGGGATCAAACCCACAGCCTAGGTATGCACCCTGACTGGGAATCGAACCTGCAACCTTTCAGTGTGTGGGACGACACTGCAACCAACTGAGCCACACCGGCCAGGGCAACAGTACTTTTCTATGAGTGAATTTACATATGTGCTTCACTTACAACTTTCCATCTTGCACACAGTCTTGGGTGGTTTTTAAGCTTATTATTATTGTTTTTATAGTTAATATGTATAATGTTACAGGTGGAAGATATTTCTCATTTTAAAATCAAACTTGAAAAGATGAAAGGAACTGTGAAAGAAATTTACTGTTTGAACATACAGAAAAGTTTTGCACAATGCATGAGATTTTTTTACCCCTTCTGCCCCCACTGAAATAGTATTAACACTTGATATCACACCTTTCCCCAGCCGCAGCTTTCTGTTCCCTGTCCTTCATCTGTCTCTACCTCCTGGGAGCGGAAACAGACCAGTCTTGTTTCCAGTGTGCGCAAACTGTGTGAGGATACAATTGAGGAAGAACATTAATGTCCACTGGTCATTCTTCTGGCATTAAGCCTGTTCTTTGCCTCAGTCCGTGAGTTAGGAAATGCAGTTGGCTGTTTAGTACGTTTCACTATTACAGAATCTAATTAAATACCTGTCTTTAATGATGTAGACTTCAGCAAAATTTAAGAATGCCCAATTTCACCCTAAGGCTTTGCATCCTAGACTGGCAATAATTGGAACAAGGTGATTTTTTCAAGGGGAGGCTAATGTGATTCAGACCTCTCTTTGGCCCTTTTTCAACTCTGTCATGACTTAGTCTGAACAGAAGGACTACATCTTTTTTTTTTAAGCATCTCGGACCATTCCCAGGTATTTTGTTTCTACATTTGGTATTGCTGGGCTGGTTTAAGTGATAGAGTTTCAGTCTCAGCATTTGGGCAAGTGAAGGAAACGAATGATAAAAAGTAGGCAGGAGGACCCTGGCCAGGTGGCTCGGTTGGTTGGAGTGTCATCCCATACACCAAAAGGTTGCATGTTCAATTCCCAGTCAAGGTGCTCTACCTAGGTTGTGGATTCACTCTCTGTGCAGGGCATGTGTGGGAGACCACCAGTCGATGTTTCTCACGCATTATTGGCTGGCTGGCTGGCTGAGTGTCTCTCTCTCCACCCCTGCCTCTCCCTTCCTCTCTAAAAATCAATAAACATAACCTTAGGTGAGGATTACAAAAAAAGCGTAGGCAGAGAGGCAAAAGTTCTAAACAAACCCATATCCTGAGTAGTTTATTAATTGTGATATAAGTGGATGTAAGAACTGGGCTCTTCCTAGAAGAATTATAGCAAGCTTAGCACAGTCAAAGAAAACTTAAGCTAGGTCTTACTGGTAGGGCTCTCAAAGGCTTTGTTATCATCAGCCTCAGCAGATCATTAAAAGATGGTGTTTTGCCCTGGCCGGTTTGGCCCAGCAGTTAGAGTGTCAGCCTGTGGTCCAGAGAGACCCGGGTCCCGGGTTCAGTTCCCGCTAAGGGTACGTACCTCGGTTGCAGTTTGTCCCCGGCCCTGGTTGGTCGTGAGGGTGGCAGCCACTCGATGTGTCTCTTTCACGATGATGTTTCTCTCTCTCTCTCTCTCTCTCTCTCTCTCTCTCTCTCTCTCTTCCTCTCTCTCCCTCCCACTCTATCTGAACAAAAAATGGAAAAAAGCGTTTTCAGGTGAGGATAAAAAAAAAATGGTGTTTCTATTGTACCTTTAATATTGAGAGGGTATGACCGTGAATATCTTACTAGATTAGAATCTCAAAATCTTCCAAAGTTACAGGTGGTATTAGATCACAGGCACACTTCCATATTCTTTATTTATTTATTTTTTCATATTTAATATTGACTTTTGCTCATTTTTCTCCTTTTCCCTTTTGGGTCCTTCTTATCCACTTGCTCTAATACACCCAAATTCTCAACACCAAAAATACAATAACTAAAAATCAGAGAAAGAGTAAAATTAGAGAATGGGGGGAAAGGGGTGGATTCTGGAATCTCCAGAAACCTAAATTACTTTTTATTATTCGATTTTTTTTTTTTAATGTTGATCCTGTCTGGGTAGAGAACTGTCTCCCGAGAAGCTTGTAGTGAAGAGCCCTGCTCACCCTGTGTCAGCCTTGGGCAGGTGACCGCCCTCCTGTGCTTCCGTTTCCACAGGTGTCAGCTCCCCCAGAGCTGTGCAGAGTTAACATGTGCAGCGTTCAGACGCAGTCTCCGTGTTAGCTGTTATTAACACCTGTCAGTATTTTTGTAGTGAAGAGCTGTGTGGATTTTGATATTCCCATATTTGGAGAAAGAAGTAGACTATACCCCCTCCCCCACCTCCGTCATTGGATCTCACTAACGGCTGCTGCTTGATTGGGCTGAGCTGAGGCTCCTCCGGTGCAGATCACCAGGGGCAGGAGTACTGCCACACCTGAGGTATAGCCCAGGACAAGGAGCTGCCAGGTCATCTGAACCTCCTCCCCAGAGATCTCACCAAGGTCCCTGGAGTTTCCTTTCCAGAGCCCACGTATATTTCCTCAATGAAATATCCACCTGAGCCCTGGCCAGTTTGGCTCAGTGGTTGGAGCGTTGGCCTGCGGTCCAGAGAGACCCGGGTTCGGTTCCCGCTAAGGGCATGTACCTCGGTTGCAGTTTGTCCCTGGCCCTGGTTGGTCGTGCGGGTGGCAGCCACTCGATGTGTCCCTTTCACATCAATGTTTCCCTCCCTCTCTCTTCCTCTCTCTCCCTCCCACTCTGTCTGTACAAAAAAATGGAAAAATGTCCTCGGGTGAAGATAAAAAAATAAAAAAGAAAAGAAATATCCACCTGAAATCAAGGGGAGGAAAGTGAGAACATGTGGGTAGGGGCAGGGAGAGAGAATTAGACTTGTCCAGAAATGTGACAGGAGATGTCAGTAAAAGCACAGGTAGACTATTCTTGGAGCAGCTGGTGTGAAATGTGCTGTCAGTGGCCGGTCATTTGCAGGTCATTGTTGAAGTGACACTGTCCCAGGTTAGAGCAATAGCTTCTCACCTCCTCCCGGCCCCTCCTCCACACCCCCACATCCTGCCCCAGCCCCCAAGGGCCAGCCTTTCGGACACTCCTTCTCTCCCCTGACTTTGAAAATGGGAGAGGTGCTGGAATTACTGACCCCTGACTCTGCTTCCTTCCAGCTGACCCTCTGGTAGGCAGCATCGCCACGCAGTACATGACCAACAGAGCGGAGCACGACCGAATGGCCAGACAATGGACCAAGCGGTACGCCACATAGGGGCCTGCGCTTGCGCCCCCGCCGGACCTGTGCAAGCACATTCACCAAGTGCATCAAGAGCCTGCCCTCCCCTCCGGACCTCGGTTCTTATCTTCTTATTTTTAATAAATTTTGAATCATTTTGTGGTGGTATGTCATCCTTTCCCCCTCCCTTCTCCCGCTTTCCTTTTCCTTTTTTCCTTTGCTCTCCCTGCACACACACACCCCGCAATTGTATCCTTTTAATTTCTATTAACTTGAAAGATTTGGGTTCTTTTTTCCCACCTCAGTTTATTTGGATGGGAACTTTGTTTTCGGTGCGGACAATGTTGGATCTGTAATAGTAAGAGCTTTCTTACAAAGCTTTGTATTACTGTGTGGTTTTATTTTTTGTTGTTTGTTTTATTTTGATTTTTTTTTCTTTTATGTGATCTTCGGGAAAAAACGAATTCAGAATTATATCTCGTTTCTACTTAAATGTAGTGTTTAGGGTTAATTTTTTGTACTGAAGTCTTTATTGGTGGGTGCATGCTACTGGGAACAAGTTTTTGTACAAAAGCTTCAATCAGAATCACTGTGCATTACTGAGACTCTGTTTATCACTAGCCTTCTGTCCCCCACACAGAAGACTGTTGGATTGAACAAAATAATAAGTATTTTGATTTACTTAAAGTGCTTGTAAATTTCTTAGGGACCTGCCACTTTTGACTGTGGATCAGTTGATGTACACTTGTATTATTAAAGCACTCAATAAATCACTGTGGCTGATAAATGCACTTGTGGTAACTTGGCATTTGCTTTGTATCCTGATGACTAGCGTAGCCCTACATGTAGCACAGCTTATCTAATTCAGTTACACCTGCAAGTGTATTTTTCATCTCACACCTCTAATATTTCTTTGTAATTGAGTCACTGAGCATGTGAAATTTCTCCAGCTGTCAATACCCTGATGATTTTATGGTTGTTTCAGATCACTCTCATTTTACATATTGGCTGGACATTACTTTCTCATGGGTGCACTTTCTGGTACAGCTTTTCTATGCGGCAGTTAAAGTATAGGACTCCAAAAGTAGCCTTCTAGTGAAAATGAAGTCTGAGCCGATCGTTGTGTTCAACCACTTTTGAACTCGTTTCTCTCCTTTTTCTCCTAAGATTGTTATAGTGATTGCCCTTGAATTTTGGTTTTGTTTTCTCTCCATAATTCTAGTGAAAGAAGTAAACTCAACTGTACCAGGCATAGTCAGCACATTCAGTGATGGGGTGTGTGTGTCTGGCTTTGACCTTCAGGCTGTTTTAGGTATGCAGCCATAGGAGGCAGAGGGAACGGGTGGTGCCTTTGAAAACAGTCATGCTGGTTGCTAGGGGTGTTCTTGTGTTAGAGGCCGGGAACCTCAGCTTCCACTAATTACTGCAACGAGCCCACCTGCAGCTTGGTCTCACACAGGGACACCTTTACTGATAGATAGTAAGATTTACAAACAAAGTCACTCACTCTAAGTATTTCTGATTCAAATTTTAATTTCTTCACCTGAAACAGTTTAAATATCTGATTTAAAAGGTACAGTTTTAGTTTTTTTTTTAGAGATTAAAAAGAAATCCTAAAGAAAATGTTTTAATGTTGAAAATCTTACTTTTAAACCAGAGTATCTAGGGATAATTTTTTTTTCTCTTTTTAACAACATCACCATTAATTTCATGTGAAACATTTTCCAACATCAGAACACCTTATGGTTTCTATTGAAACTACTCAACTCTGTCCTTGTAACAAAAAGAACCACAGACAATATATCTGAAGTGGCACAGTTGTGTTCCAAAAAAACTTTATTTACAAAAAGTCAGTACCCCTGGCTGGGTGGCTCATTTGGTTGGAGCATTATCCTGTACAGCAAAAACAGTCAGTAGCCAGATTGGATCTATGAGTTGTAGTTTGCCAGTCCCTGATATAGACCACCATACACTGGGAAGGAAAAGAGTCAGTAACTGTATTAAGTTTAAGATCTTTCTTTGTTTTTGTTGTTTTTCCTTTATTGATGTTAGAGAGAGGAGAAGGGAGAGGGAGAGAGAGAGAGAAACATCAATGAGAGAGAACATCGATTGGCCACCTCCTGCATGCCCCTCACTGAGGATCAGGCCCACAACCTGGACATGTGCCCTGACCAGAAATTGAACCAGCAACCTCTTGGTGCATGGATCGTCACTCAACCACTGAGCCACACCAGCTGGGCTAATATCGCTTTCTTTGAAATAAAATGAATCTAATATAAAATAATACTGATTTTTAGGAAATTACTCAAAGTTTTATTGCCTACTGACTTTCTCACCACAAAGATTTTTATATTTACTTTAATATATTAAATTTAACAATTCAACCCTAAAAGCATAGAACCATTTTAATGTACAATTTTATTAAACTGATTATTCTTTACTTTTGACTAATTAAACCAGATTCGTGATATTAATACTTTTTTTTTTAATACTCACCCAAGGCTATGCTTAATGATTTTAGTGGGAGGGGAGGGGAGAGAGAGAGAAAAATCGATGTGAGAGAGAATATCGATTGGTTGTCATCTGTACGTGCCCCGACTGGGGATCAAACCTGCAGCCTAGGCATGTACCCTGACCTGGAATCGAACATATAACCTTTCAGTATACTGGATGACACTCAACTGAGCAACCCGAGCCAGGGCTAATACTGAATTTTATATACAATGTTTAAAATGTTTGCCTTTCTTCTTTTAAAATATCAACTCCATAGGGCACACATTTTAAATGGCATATCCAATATATTACATGTACCTTCTATTATCTGGTTATACTGCAGATCATTTAAAAATGTATGTTATGTATTTGCCCTGGCCAGTTTGGCTCAGCGGTTAGAGCATCGGCCCTTAGACCAGTCTCAAGTTTCATTCCAGTCAAGGGCACATACCTTGGTTGCAGTTCATCCCCAGCCCTGGTCAGGGTCATGTGGGAGGCAACCAATCAATGTGTCTCTCTCACATCTATGTTTTTCTCTCTCTGTCTCTCTCTTCCTCCTTCCCACTCCATCTGAAAATAAATAGAAAAATATCCTCCGGTGAGGATTTTTTTTAAATGTATGTTATTTAGGTGCCAGAAATTATAACAATTCTAGTAGGAAATCCTACCTATCACAAATCTGTGTTTTCTTTCTTGTGATCCATTTTTAGGTTGTTGGTTTTTGGGTTTTTTTTTTGTCAATTTGATATAAAGAGTCTATAAAACTTCTCTCCCCAAGTTTATGAACTCTGAATACTTAATGACAAACAAATGTACCCTTCTCTCGAAATGTAAGAGCTAGTGAAACTCCAGAAAGACCAGAGTAGTTTTAGTTGAACCATTTAAGTCTCAGCTTAACATGGTAATTTTACTGGAAATCTATCATCACGGCAGGCAATACAATTCCAGTAAATTTTCAAAAATGTAAACTAAGGTTTGGTATAGTTTAGCACTCAGCTAAATAGTGTTGCTAATAATTATGGGGGTAACATTTCTAAAATTCAGAAACAGTTTTGTAACCAAATATTACTTAACTTTTCAAACCAATTACTGCTAATTATAGTATTTTGTAGCTTTGTTAAATAAAATGCTGGCAGATCATTGTCTGAGGCAGGACCACTGGTCATTGAGAAAGCTGTTGAAATGATATTTATTGGCCTTAAGTAATTCAGAAAGTTGTGGCCTTAATTTGTCATAAAACAGCAAATAAATAGAACATTCTTCATGTGTTTTTCTACAGGAATCCATTGAAGATAGTAAATCTTTTCTTATTCCAGTATTAGAGAGGAAACCCAGAAGGTCATCCGGGATTAATGATCTGGGAATTAGGAAAAAAGGAAATATGTATTCAAAATGCCATAAGTTACCTAATATAACCTTAGCCTAGCCCTTTAGGGTATGGGTGGCTGCCCTCATCTAAACATTTGTCTACTCCCCAAAATTCGTATGTTGACATCTTAATCCCCAAGGTGATGGTATTAGGAGGGTGGGGCCTTTGAGATGTGACTTGGCCGTGAGGGCAGAGGGCTCCCTAATCCTTGGACCACCTGAGGACACGGTGAGAAGTCGGCAGTCTGCGGCCAGGGAAGGGCCTTCACCAGAACCCAGCCATGCTGGCACCCTGATCGTGGACTCTCAGCCTCCAGAGCCGCGAGAAATAAACGTGTGCTGTTGCTAAGCCTGGTCTGTGTACTGTGTTTTAGTCGCTTAACCGGCCTGAGACGGTGCTCAGTCGCGCACAGCTAGCAAGGTGCCAGAGGGATTCCCACCCACGCACGTGACCCCAGAGCCCGTGCCATCACCTGCAGAGCCGCACACCCCTGTCTTCTAAGGACGCGATCGTGCCGCAGAAGCACGTGGGCCTAGTTCAGTCTCAGGCGGCCGCGCCGAGCTGCATCCGTCTGCACCCTCGGGCGGACACCTTCGCAGGCTGGAGGCGGCCTGGCCTCGGAGGACCTCTCGCAGCAGCCGTGCCCTTCCTCTCGTCCGTGCTCCCGGGCAGCTGGCTGCTCGCTGCAGCCGGGACATGCCTTCTCCCTCCGCGCCTTCCACACACTCCACCGTGAGCGCTGGCCGTGGGTTAGGGGGACCCACTCACCCCAGTTTGGCCGGGACTGTCCCTGTGTTAGAACAGAAAGCCTCGTCCGGCTGGTGTGGCTCAGTGGTTGAGCGTAGACCCCTGCACCAAGAGGTCACTGGTTCTATTCCCGGTCAGGACACATGCCCAGGTTGTGGGCCCAGTCCCCAGTGGGGGGCGTGCAGGAGGCGGCCAATTGATGTTTCTATCTCCCTCTCACTTCCTCTCTCTCTAAAATCAATAAAGGAAAAAAAATTAAAAAAAAAAAAAGAACAGAAAGCCTCATGTTCCAGGAACCCCTCAGTCTGGGACAAACCAGGACTGTAGGTCATGTGAGTTTTTGTACTAAGACTACATTTCCGAGTAAGGTCTCAGGCACTGCACGGGTCCATCTCGGCCCTTAGAAATGTTTTAGGTGAGCAGTCTTACCGGATGTACAGTTATCCTTTCAGAAGAGGTGTGTGTGTGAACTGCCACCCCTCCGCCCTCCACAGCCAGCCATCGCCACGGTTCCCTGGTTCGGAAGGCAGGTGAGTCATTTAACCAACTGCATCCTTCCTTTACATCTTCTACCGTGGCTTAAGTATGTGCGCCTCTCTGTGAATGAGTAGCCGTGAGCATAATATGCTTTTTGGCAGGATTTTTTAAGGGGAAATTCCTGAAGTTTAAATACCTCTCCTGTATGGGACCCACAGAAAACTGGAGAAGATAACGCCACCACCTCTCTCTTACCTGTTTATATATCCACATAGTCAAAGTGGGGGCCAATCCCAGCTGCTCTGGAACTCCCAGTGTTCTTGTGACAGACAAAACCTTACCCAGTAAC